CAAAAAAAAAACCCTCTTCTATCCCTCTGATCCTGTCTTTGTGTACAAGATTGTATGGGGATTGGTGTAAATTCATGTGTTCATAGGAGTAGATGTGATGGCAGGTTTCTGGGAAAGAACCTGATATCTCTCGTGTTTTGGCATATAATCGGAATGGGTGCGTAGGAGCTATTATACTGTTCGCTGCTGCCAGTTATGCGCTATTGCTGTCGTTTTTGCAGGCGGGCACACACTGCTGTAAGAGTATAGTTTGTGTGTGGAGGCATAGGGAGGGGACTTTTGTGGAGGCTCATAAGTTTATGAATCCGTTGCGGTTTCTCCCTTTCACTTTGTGCACGTTAGAAGCTTCTACATGATTGGATGCATATATATTCTCTGCCCAAGTGTATCTCACAAGCGAACCGTCCACGCCTGTTGGAGCGAAGAGTGGAATGCTGCTTTGTGCTCATTAAACCGGCTGGCTTCAAGGATGAATGAGAGGACTAAGGGGGGAAGGTGGGGGGCGAGAGAGAGAGAGAGAGAGAGAGAGAGAGAGAGAGAGAGAGAGAGAGAGAGGCAAAACCTGATTGAGATTTGAGTACTGTCGGACGCGTCGTCTTGTGCCACATGTGGCCGTTGAGTCATCTTTGTTCAAGGAGTTAGACCTGAACGACTGGAAGGAGAGAATAAGGGAGAGGTGGTGTTGTGACGGTCATGTTGACTGACGGCGATGGAGGAAGCAAACAGTTTTAAGTTTTCGCTTGAGGCCAGGAAGAAGTTAGCGAGAGAGAAAATAGAGAGGAGGTGCTAGGCATGAGAGAGAGTAGTATGCCCGGGGGGGTGCAAGAGGAGGAGGTCCTTTTTGTTCACAATGTGACAATGCTTTAATCACCTGGACCACTTGGAAAAAAGGCATATATATGCTTCCAATCCCTAGGGATGGGAGACCTGTAATTCTACCGTAGTCTTGTTGTAGTAGTGGGATATTGGCAGATATGCTCTGCGAGGCCAGACGAAAGGCTGCTATGTTATTGTTCATCAAAGTCGATTTAAGGACGGATGTGACGTTTACCCACCGCAGCTTTGAGATGGGCAGACTGCACTGTTCGGATCTTGTCAGAATTTTGGTGGTTGGTTGGTTGGTTGGTTGGTTGGTTGGATGGATCAATCCTGCTGTTTCCATTTCAGACTTGTATTTAAAACTTTAAAACGAATTGTTTGTTATGTTGTTATCTTTAATGTTGACAGGTCTGTATATTGCTGTCATCGCTCTTTCTTACCAAGCTGAATTGGATACTGATCGCTCGCATCGCTCTTTCTTGCCAGGCGTCCATTTATGAGTATTAATTAATTTAGTAATATTAACTACGGCCCAGCATGCCCGGGCCAGTTGGGCCTGGGGGGGGGTCGCCCGGCAAAACCAGACGGGTCAAAAAAGAGGCAAGG